GAGCTTCTTCAAAGACATAAAACAGCAACCCATCAACCCTTGAATGCTACAGAAAAAAATAAATGCATAAAGGCTGCCAATTCACACTAACTCTGCCGTAGATAGGCAGAATACATTGAAAGGCATTACACTACCTGGAATACTGCCTATGGATTTAGCATAGCCCTACAAGGGTATGTGGCTCTGAAGTATTTCACTCTGTTGGTCAGAGCTGCATGAAAATATTCATATCAAATATAAAGCCAAGGCAAACAGAAAGTGTGCCTAATGTAAACTTGAGAATAAAAATTGGCAATAGGCTTAAACATTACTTCCACTTTGTATTTTTTCTATATACCATAGAGTACACTACTGCTTTAAATACAATTTTTATGAGCTTTACAAACCTTGCTAAAACCATACATATGCTGTGCCAAGAATCTTGGAGCCTGACTGCTCTGCCTGTGGTGGACTAACTGTCCATGATAAATGGATGGAAACAACTAGAGAAATGGTGTATCTTGCTGTGAACAATAATATTTAAGAAATACATAAATAGTACCTGGTTGTTATCTTTTCCTGTTTAATTTTTTTCAGCAAAAAGGAAGAAAAATGTATTTTGAAGAACAAATTATTTTTTTTACTGTAGTGTAGCTAATACAAAGTAATAGTTAATGTACCAAATACAGTTATTCCTCTTTTCCACCTGAATGCTATAGAATTATGAAGGAGGGTTTCACAAAATACTGCAAACTGCAGAGTGCCCTGGATGCTACTTTTCAACTGCACAGGAGTATTAGAAAGTAATTGCCAGCACAAATACATATAGTCACCTAAACGTTTAACGAAAGTAAAAAAGTTATGGGTATTTGTGTAATTTCTTTGAGTTATATATAAATATTCCAGGAACGTTTGGTTGGAGAAAAGAATTACAAACTCAAAAAACTGAGCAGAGATTTCATAAGTAGCCCAAGAAATTACTATGACCTTTGTGCAACACGAATAATTTATTTCATTGTCCTATCTCTAGCTCTTTGCAAAATGGGCTTACCTTTGACCATCCTTGCAACTGGAAAAAAAGAAAATCAGAAACAGAAACTAAATTTCTTTCACAGCTTTAATTGGAAAATTATTTCATTCACTCAAAGATACATGTGAAATTATATTTTAACAACTCACAAGATTGGCCATGCAAAAAATGAAGTAGAGTAAGTTATTCTTGGTACCTCAGTTCTTGGTATCACCTACAAATGTTTAATATTAGACAAAACTGCATAATTCTGAAAGATAATCAGCGTTTAATGTATGGATACATTCTCAAAACTTTAGAGTTATCACAGAAATGTGTATCAATATTTTGACATGATGAGACAGAACAATTTTCTTCCATTTTAGTTCCTCTAACGTTGCCTAGAGAAGGGGCTTTTAGACAAGGTTTTTTTTCTTATTTGTTTTCTTCTTTTTTCTTGTTTCTTTTTTTTTTTTTTTTAATAGAGTGGAGAGCTTAACAAAAACACAGGAAGTTGTCAGGAACAGACAACTTTTCCTGAAGTCTAGAAATACTTAGAGTTCTTGAGAACCCAGTGGACACAGGTCCTGGAGATAGGTACTGTTTATCCCACGAAGCTCAGTTGTTAGTTCAGCAATTTTACCCCTTCATTGCACTTCATGGTGTTTGGTGACCTCTTTTGATGTTTCCTGAGCCCTACACAGAGAATACTAGGACATGAACAACCCTTTTCCACGCTACCTTACCGCTAGGATAAAAAGTATGCTTTCATTGCAGATCTAGTTTCAGCAATGAGTCTTTGGGTTTCAGCTTCAAGATTATCCCAAACTGGCTGTGATGAAGACTAGGCTACCTATCATCGTGTAGAATATCTGTCAGCCATTGCCATTTGGCTTGGGATCAGGGATCAGCCGTTGTCCCTCTTTTATTTAGCAGTACAGACACATACTAGGGCTCTGCACTGCAGTAAGCCAAATTGTTCCTCTTGCCCAGTGAATTGTTAGAAGGGACAGGAGAACTAGCCACTTTCAAGTAGTTTAGTCTGCATTCTTGCTGCAAAATGCTGAGGTACCAATTTGACAGAGATTGATATCTGGCCTTTAGCCTGTACCTAGGAGCCAGTTCTGTAAATACACCACAGAGGATGCTGCCAAAATCAGCTCGTTTCCAGAAGACATACCATATGAATCAGTACAGAGTTCAAGCATCCCTTGCAACTTCTCTCTTTTGACCAACAACTATCATTTCACAATTCTCTTTCGTATATGTTTTCATGTAAAGAACGGTGCTACCTGCAGAGTCAAGGTACAATAGTTTCATGTTAGTTAACCATGAAAGAGAGAAGGAACTGAAATAATATT